ATCTAAAATTCTGGTAACTTCTTCCTGTCTCTGCTTCACCTAGATAGACAAAAATATAGAGAGATAGAATGATGTTAATCAACTGACCCTAATGATTTATGTTTTGTTTTGCCCCTCCATTATGCTATGGAGGAGGAATAGCTTTTAATGGTGTGATGTTTCTTTGAGGAGCAAAAATTAGGTAGTTTTCTTATGATAAACACATACACACACATATAGTATATATGTAATATGTAAATATGTTTAATATGTATATGAAGAAATACAGTACAGTGTCAGTAGGAATTAAAATCTCTAATGGGCTATAAATATTTGCCATATTGATTTCATACTGCACATGAAGTGGTATGAACATTCTGCTAACAGTTGAAGCACACTTTTCAACTCATCATTACATTAATTTATGCTAATATCTATGGTAGCTCTGTGTAGGAAATGGACATGATACCAGGTTTTTACATTTGAAGGAACATACTACATGTTCTAAACCATAATCAGAGACAATGCCTAAGTACAGAGATAAAATCCACAGAATGAGAAAATAAAGTACATCAGACAATTAAGATTTATAAATAATGTGAGTGAATAAAAGTCACTAGTTCTTCCTATATCCTCTTATATGAACTGTAAGATTTGTATTAGTTGCTAAAATACTGTATATCCCCACATTGTCTTTTCCTCTGAAACACTACTGCTAAAGTAAAATTGTAATAATTGGTTATCTTTTAAACATATTTTATAACTACAATTTTTTTGTTAATAACTGTAACATAAATCTTAAAATTTGAGTTTTCTACATTTTTCACATGACAATCTTAGGCAATTTTGCCACATAAAATCTCTGATACTAGAATGAGAAAACATATGTGAAAGCAATTTGAGAAGTACAAACCCCAGCTTATTCAAGTATGATTTCTACAAAAGTGCATGGCAGAAAGCTTTTTGTTTGATGACTTAAAAATGTAATCCAGTCATGGTTAGAAAACCCTGTCTATTTGCAACTGATAGCTGAGAAGTTTCTGAAAGTCCATTATGCAACATTTCTACTTCCTGAGGCTCATTAGTTTTTAAAATTGCAATGGTGCATGTGATTTGTCACATTTTTATAGTGTTTTTTCAAAACTTTCTCAGAGGAACCTCATTAAGAGAACAGTTACTTAGACCAGTGCTACACTGAATGTGGTTCATAAGACCAACAGCATCAGCCTTATCCCACCCCAAAACTACAGGAATGTTTTAACAAGCCCTCCAGATGAATTTCATGTTACAGTTTGAGAAAAACAGACCAAGAGTTGGGTGAGTCTTCTGCTGCATCCATTGTGGTCCTTATTGATTCTAAATCATTCCCTCTTACAGACTCTTAGTACCATATCTGATAAAATAAATCACAATGTTAAAAAAATAGTCAAAAGGCCCATAATTTTATTTTTAAAACTGCTTCTTGTTATTGTTGTTTCTTAGTATCTGGGTGAAATCCCAAATCTAGTTGATAAAGTTTTCTGCAAAAGCAATGTACTCTTTCTAGGCTGAGAACAAATCTCATTGCTCCCTGCCATCTATCATGGTGTCTTGACACACAGAAGGAGTGTGATGAATGTTAACTATTTATAATCAATTCCAAATTCTTCAGTTTTCATGCTTCTCCAAAACTTTTGCAGAATGAGGATCTTAGCCATATAATGGTCCTTCTATAGCTAAGCTGTCTAATGTGATAACCATTAGCCAGCCACATGAGACTATTGAGTACCTGAAGTGTGGCTAGTCCAAAATAAGATTCTCTGTAAGTACAATATACATACTGGACTTTGAGGACTTAATAAGAAAATAATATATATAACATCTCTTTTTAGATATTGATTATATGTTGCAATGATAAAATTTTGTATATTTTGTGTTAAATAAAGCATATTAAAATTAATCTCGTCTTTTTTTTTAAGTCACTACTAGAAAATTTAAGATTACATATATGGCTCACAATATGTTGCTGTTGGAAACCACTGTTGTACAATATTTCCTACAACGTGGTCAAAATAATTTATCTAAACTGTAATCTGAGACATGTCTGATCTATGCAAATACATGTTCTTCTTAGAAATTACCAGTTTGTTTTTTGGGGGCTACCAGTCTTCTCTGAGGATTTGGGCCATTTACTCACTGACATTTTCCCTCTCCTATCCTAAACAGTGTTCTTTATCTCTTCCATCTGCCATCCTAAGCATCCTAAAGAACAGGGTTCTTTATCTCTTCCATTTGAAACATCTGCAAATGTATTAGAAATACTTAAGTTGGCTGAGCTCAGGACTCAGAAGCCTCCCAGACCAACAGAACCGGTTAGTTCTTAGAGCACCTCCCAGACCAACAAAACCGGTTAGTTCTTCTAGCACAACCTAGGTGAGGACAATAACCACATTTTCTGTTCTCCCCTGTACCTCCCATCCCTGAAAACCTAGAGAGGAGGGTGCTGAAGAATGAAAAGGCAAAATGGGGATGGTAACGTCTTAGCACAACCCTGAAGTCCCCAACTAGAGTGTCTTCACTCTAGTCTTTTTTGCCCTCTAAGGCTCTTTTCTTTCCACTCACCTCCCTGGACCCTGACACGCTGGTATAATAGACTTTAATGGAGCTCATTATTTCCACTACAAGGCTACTTTGGAGAAGTAACCCAGAATCAGTCACTTCGCTACTGCTTCAGGCTGAGCTATGCAAAGTCCCAAAGCCTGGCCCTGCCCCTTTCCAAGACTGTTGCTAAGGGCCATCGGCCTGAGCACTCTGGATTGGCTGGGAAACTCGTGCCCTTGTGGCGCAGGAAGCCGCTGCCTGGTGACTGTCGGCCTGGGGGGAGGGGAAGAACTCTGGGGTGTTAAACTGTTAAGGCCTTTTCTCTCCTCATCTGCAAGGTGCAGGGGAGGACTGGATGGAAGAACTAATGGACTCCACATTCCTACTGCTTCTCCCATCTCCCTGCTTGGGAATGGTGGTAAGCATGAGCTTTTGTGTCTGGCAACAGCAGCGGCGAATGAGGGACTGAGACACTGGGGAACAAAATGACCAAAATACAACGTGATGAGTAAAGAAACAGGTAAAATAAAACTTGTATTGCCTAAGTTTGTAAGGACAGAGTAAATGGTGCCAGTGCTTACTTGGAGGGGAGGGGACCACCAAAGCAACTTTGATGCGTTTTTTCTTAGCCCGGGGAAGTGTCTCCTTTCTCTCTCCGGTGCCCCTCCCTTTTTGAGGACAACATGCTTTCTGTCTGGGAGTTGACATTTTGGTTTATGTGATAGTGGGTGCAATAGAGGCTAACTCTCCTAGCACTTCTTCCCTCCACCCCGTGTAACAAGATGACCTCATGCTTTAATGTCCATTTCCTCTTCAGTACATTCGTAGCTCATTATTCTAGCCTTTATTTTCAAGTAGTTGAAGATAGCAATAATATTTACAGGATTTTTTGGATTTGTCAAAAATGAGCAGTGGAAATTGACAGTGAAGGACTAAAGAACCTCAGCACCAGCTTTTGTGCTAGGCAAATTTGGATTCCATGGCTCCACAACTTAATAATTGTGGATCTTTAGCAAGTTACTTCCTTCTGAATGCCATTTTCTCAATCATTAGAATGTGAATGGTGATGCCTTTCTGACAACATCATGGTGAGGATTAAATGAATTGAGTATGTAAAGTATTTGGCACATGATCTGATATGTCAGTAGTTCAGAAAATGATAATTATTATTGATGATAAGTGTCAGAGAGCTTGCGTGATGTTTAGGAACAAGCACATCAATATGAATAAGATAAAGCATTTACCTTCAAGTTACTCACAGAGTGATATCTAATAAAGTGAGGTAAATGCAATGTAGAGAAATCTAAACCAGGCTAGATGGGTCAAGGCAGGTATCCCTGAAGAAGTAAGAGCTAATCAGAAATCTGAAAGATGTGTAGTATGCCAGGAAATTATAAGAATGGAGAAGTTTTAGGTAGAAGGAACAGTCATGAAGCAATGTAGTAATTGGAGCTTTGGGAGCAAGTTGGAGGAATAGAAACTGAGGAAATAAACAGTAAAAAAACACATAAACCTTCAGGTTTCATGTCAGATTTTGACTTTTAGTCTTTTCAAGGCTGTTTCTTGTTTTATAAAAAAGAAATCATAACTTGGAGATTTACTATGAAGATTAAATGAGTGCAGATGTTGCCTAAGAGCATCTTTCACTTATGAGATACTCAATAAATTATATATTTTATTATTAACCCATGGATGATTAGATACCACTGAAGGATTTAGCTATTGGTATGAAAGGTGGATCAATCTAACATGTAAAGTGGATTTGAAAAGGACAAGATTGGGAGCAGCTGCAGCAATACAAAAATGAAAATGACAGTAGTGAAAGGCAAAGATATTTAGGACAGGAGACTGCTAGAGTTTGGATATAGGAGTGAGAGAGGCAAAGGAGATGGGACATAACCAAAGAAGGAGTCTAGGTTAGGAACAATTTGCAATCTCCATTTTCTTTTAATATTCGTTTGTTGCAGCAGTGGTAGAAAACCTACTTTTTACAGTTGTTTTCATTATCTTTCTGGTGTGAGATTGTGACTTATTTTCTCGATTTGCTGTGAGCTGTTACTTTGGGTGCCAAGCTAAATTGATGCACTATTTGTTACAAGAGGATGTCTTTGGCAACCTAAAAGAAATTGGTTAGTATGACATACAGAATTTGAATTAACCTATTATATGGGATGTTTGTGATAATTATTTTGAAGTAATTATTTGTAAAACAAGAACTCTACTGATAATCATAGCTGAAAGTATCAACTATGTAGATTTTTGTTTATGCTTCCAAGTCTACTTTGGCAGTTTGTATCTGAGTTCAAAATTATTCTAAAGAATGGACCAGACACTTAAAAGTTTGGAAAAAATATATATTCTAAAGAAGGTAGTAAATTTTTTCTTGTCCTTTTATGTGTGTGACTTATTTTTTATTTATTTAATTTTATTTTTATCTTTTTACTTGCAGCAAGAATTACTATCAAACCCCATTCATTGGGCCAGAGACCCTTGTGTTAGTGAAAGACTTGCCCATCATGTAGCATACTATGTACACTTCTGGTTCATCAGCCAGCTAGTGGCCTCAACTCCAAGCTCTAACAATATGCATTACTTATTTATTTTTTGATCATGCAAATAATACATGAATTCATGAACATTGTAGAAGTCAGACCATATACAATTATAGAGAGTAAAAAGTAAAATTACATCTTCACCTTCTCTCTGCAAGCTTCCTCCCAGAGGAAACTGCTATTAACATTTTGATCTGTATCATTTTTTCACAAACATGATGACATTTATTAAGTCAGTTATAAGAGAAGAAGTCACTTATAATAGAAAGTTAAGTACAAAGGCTGCCTTTAAAAAAAAATATGGAATGCTTCATGAATTTGCATGTCATCCTTGCACAGGGGCCATGGTAATCTTCTCTATATTGTTCCAATTTTAGTGTATGTGCTGTTCAAGTGAGCACAAGTAAACATGCTTTGAAGCAAGACTGCCTGGGTTCAAACTCAGACTATACTACTTACAACCGTGTAATATAGAACATCATCCCTAACTTCTCTGTGCCTCTGTTTTATCATAGGTGAAATAGAAATTACAATATCTGTTTTATAGAGATGCTATGTTGGTTAAATTAGTGTATGTGAAGTATTAGAAAATTGACACATAGTACACACTCAATACATGATGGAATCATATTGTATATATTGTTCTGCAAATTGCATTCCATTAGTACAGATAAAGGAAATACAGTGTACTGATTAAGAGCATGGGTTCTAAATCCAATTGCCTGGTTCAAATCCTAGTTTAACCATTTACTAGAATTATGAACTTCAACAATTATATAACATTTTTCTGTCTTTGTTTCCTTTGTAAAGTGAAAATAATAGCTTATGTTTTTTACGTTTTTATTTCAATTCCAGTTAGTTAATATACTGTGTAATATTAGTTTCAGGTGTACTATATACTGATTAAAACATCCATACAACATCTAGTACTCATGACAACAAGTGTGTTCCTTAATCCCCATCACCTATTTAACACATCCCCCCCCACACACCCACCTCTATTCTAGTAACCATCAGTTTGTTCTCTATACTTAAGAGTCAGTTTCTTGGTTTGCCTCTCTTTTTTTGTCCCTTTGCTTTTTTTTTTTTTCTTAAATTCCACATATGTGTGAAATAATGTGGTATTTGTCTTTCTCTGACTTATTTCACTTAGCACAATACTCTCTAGCTTCATCCATGTTCTTCCAAAAGGCAATATTTAATTCTTTCTTATGGCTCAGTAACATTCCATTATGTCTGCATATACACATACATATACATATGCATATACATATACATATACATATAAATAACACATCTTCTTCTTTAAAAAAAAGATTTTATTTATTCATTTATCAGAGAGAAAGGGCACAAGCAGAGGGAGCAGCAGGCAGAGGGAGAAGCAGGCTCCCTGTTGAGCAAGAGCCCAATATGGGACTCAATCCCAGGACACCGGGGATCATGACCTAACCTGAAGGCAGACACTTAACTGCCTGAGCCACCCAGGTGTCCCTAGATATCACATCTTCTTTATACATTTATCAGTACATGGACACAGGGCTTTTTCCATGATTTGGCTGTTGTAGATAATGCTACTATAAACATCGGGGTGTACATATCCTATTGAAATAGTATTTTTGTATTCTTTGGGTAAATATCTAGCAGTGCAAATCTGGATAGTAGGGTAGTTAAGAAGAATTAATACCTATTTTTCTCAAACTAGTCCAAGAAATAGAAAAGGAAGGAAAATTTCCAAAATCATTCTATGAAGCCAGCATTATCCTGATCCCAAAACCAAATAAAGACACCACTAAAAAAAAAACAACTAAAGACCAATACCCCTGAGAAAAACAGATGCAAAAATTCTCAATAAAATGCTATTAAAACGAATCCAACAATAAATTTTTAAAAAATTGTACACCATGACCAAGTGGGATTTATTCCTGGGTTGCAAGCGTGGTTCAATATTCACAAACCAATCAACGTGATACATCACATTAATAAAAGAAAGGATAAGAACCATATGATCATTTCAATAGATGCAGAAAAAGCACTTGGTAAAGTACAACGTCCATTCATGATAAAAACCCTCAACAAAGTAGGTTTTGAACAAATATACCTCAACATCATAAAGGCCATATATGAAAAACCCACAACTAACATCATCCTCAATGTGAAAAACTGAGAGGTTTTTTTCTCCATGGTCAAGAACAAGACAGGGATGTCCACTCTCACCACTGTTATTTAACATAGTACTGGAAGTCCTAGCCTCAGCAATCAGACAACAAAAAGAAATAAAATACATCCCAATCAGCAAGGAAGAAGTCAAACTTTCACTATTTGTAGATGACATGATACTATATATAGAAAACCTGAAAGATTCCACCGAAAAACTGCTACAACTAATACATGAATTCAGTAAAGTTGCAGTATACTAAATCAACATACAGAAATCTGTTGCATTTATATACACCAATAATGAAGCAGCAGAAAGAGAAATTAAGGAATCAACACCATTTATAATTGCACCAAAACCCATAAGTTACCTAAAAATAAACCTAATCAAAGAGGTGAAAGACCTCTACTCTAAAAACTATAAAACATTTGTGAAAGAAATTGAAGATGACACAAAGAAATGGAAAGACATTCCAAGCCAAGAACAAATATTGTTAAAATGTCTATACTGCCCAAAGCAATCTACACATTTGGATTCCCTATCAGAATACACCGGCAATTTTCACAGATCTAGAACAAACAATCCTAAAGTTTGTATGGAACCACAAAAGACCCCAAATAGCCAAAGCAATCTTGAAAAAGAAAAGCAAAGCTGGAGGCATCACAATTCTGGACATCAAGTTATATTACAAAGTGATCAAAACAGTATAGTACTGGCACAAAAATAGAAACATAGATCAAGGAACACAATAGAAAACCCAGAAACAAACCTACATCTATATGGTCAATTAATCTTCAAAAAAGCAGGAAAGAATATGCAATGGGCTAAGGACAGTCTCTTCTACAAATGGTGTTGGGAAAACTAGACAGCTACATGCAAAAGAATGGAGCTGGACCACTTTCTTACACCATACACAAAATGAAATTCAAAATGGATGAAAGACCTAATATGAAACCTAAAACATAAAAATCCTAGAAGAGAACACAGGCAGTAACCTCTTTAACATTGGCTGTAGAAACTTCTTTCTAGATATGTATCCTGAGACAAGGAAAACAAAATAAAAAATAAACTATTGGGACTGCATCAAAATAAAAAGCTTTGGGATGCCTGTGTGGCTCTGTGGATTAAGTGTCCAACTCTTGATTTTAGCTCAGGTCATGATCTCAGGGTTGTGAGATTGAGCCCTCCTTAAGATTCTCTCTCTCCCTCTCCCTCTACCCTTCCCCTATCTCTCTACCCTCTCTAAAAAATGATATAAATAAATAAACAAACTAACAAATAAATAAAAAGCTTCTGCACAGAGAAGGAAATAATCACCAAAACTAAAAAGCAACCTACTGAATGGGAGAAGATATTTGCAAATGGCATCTCCAATAAAGGGTTAGTATCCAAAATATATAAAGAACTTATAAAACTCAACACCCAAAAAATGAATGATCCAATTATAATATGGGCAGAAGACATGAATAGACATTTTTCCAAAGAAGACATACAGACAGCTGGCACAGGAAAAGATGCTCAACATCACTGACCATCAGGGAAATGCAAATCAAAACTACTATATCAGGGCGCCTGGGTGGCTCAGTTGGTTGGGCGACTGCCTTCGGCTCGGGCCGTGATCTCAGGGTCCTGGGATCGAGCCCTGCATCGGGCTCCCTGCTCGGCGGGGAGTCTGCTTCTCCCTCTGCCTGTAGCTTCCCCTGCTTGTGCTCTCGATTTCTCTGTCAAATAAATAAATAAAATCTTAAAAAAAAAAAAAAAACTACTATATCTACCACCTCTTACCTGTCAGAATGGCTAAAATCAACAACACAAGAAACAGCAGATGTTTTCAAAGATGTGGAGAAAGGGGAACCCTCTTGCACTGCTGCGGGGAGTGCAAACTGGTGCAGCCACTCTGGAAAAGAGAATAGTTTCCTCAAAAAGTTAATAAAACTACCTTATGATCCAACAATTGTACTACTAGGTATTTACCCCCAAAATACAAAAATACTAGTTCAAAGGGGAACATGCACCCGGCTGTTTATAACAGCATTATCTACAAAATCCAAATCATAGAAATAGCCCAGGTGTCCACTGATAGATGAATGGATAAAGAATATGTAAAGAAGATGTGGCATGTACATATACTCAGTCATAAAAAATAATTAAATCTTGCCATTTGTAATGACATGGATGGAGCTGAGAGTATTATGCCAAGTTAAATAAGTCAGTCAGAGAAAGACAAATAGCATATATTTCACTCATATGTGGAATGTAAGAAACAAAATAAATGAGCAAAGGGACAAAAAAAGAGAGAGGCAAACCAAAAAACAGAGTCTTGACTACAGAGAACAAACTGATAGTTACCAGAATGGAATTGAGTGGGGAGATGGGTTAAATAAGTGATGGGGATTAAGGAGTGCACTTTTGATGAGCACCAGGTAATGTATGGAAGTGTTGAATCACTACATTATACACCTGAAACTAATATAACACTGTATGTTAACTAACTGTAATTAAAATAAAAACTTTTTAAAAACTGTGCCTTTTGAATCTCTTTATAAATGGGTAAAGACAGTATTTCAAAGTGTTATATATAATATGGCCTCCAATATTCAAAAAGACCACCAGTTCCTGTATTGCATTTTTATTGAAATGGGATACCATATAAGGTCTCTGTCAGATGTTGAGTATTCCAATCTAGTTTTTACCCAGGGACTGGGTAAATGTGGTCATGTGTTAGCTCCATGGAACATTTGGACCCATTGTCAGATGGACTTGGCCAGAATTCCATGTATTATTCTGGCTTCCTTTAAGCCCCCATCCTATCCAGAGAATAATGAGAGCATTTCAGGTCCCCTAGTATCAGTGTCAGTTCCTACCCTATATCTGATAGTTTCTC